AATCATACAATCTAGGAGCTTGGTACTCAATCATGGACGGTTACTCCTCTCCACCCGGCAAGTACAACGATTGGAGTAGAGAAGAGCAGAAAAATTTTCAGTGTAATTCTAAGGCTATACATATTCTATTTTGTGCTTTAGGCCCAAATGAATATGGAAGAGTCTCATCTTGTTCCAGTGCCAAAAAGATTTGGGATAAGCTCCAAGTCACTCATGAAGGAACCGACGAAGTGAGGGAATCAAAGAAAAGTCTTCTCAACCATAGCTACGAGAACTTCAATATGAAACCCAATGAAGACATCAAAGCTATGACGAATAGATTTTCCGTGATTGTCAACGGTCTCAAGGGATATGGAGAAGCAATCTCTAATGAGAAGCTTGTGAGGAAGGTGATTTACTCTCTCCAAAGGAGTGGCAATCGAAGAAGACGACCATTATCGAAGCTAAAAACCTAAAGTCTCTCACTCTCGAAGAGCTAATTGGTTCCCTTCTCACTCATGAGATGATGGTAAAGGAAGATGAAGAAAGGGAAGAGAAGAAAAAGGTAGGCATTACCTTCAAATTCACCAATGAAAGCTATCAAGAATCAAGTGATGAGGTGGATGAAGAAGAAGATGAACAAGAAGAAGAGATGGTCAAGCTCTTGAAGGAACTCGAGATTCATGATTTCCAAGGAAGTAAAACATGAATCAACCAAGAAGAAGAGTCCCCCGGTGTGCTTCAATTGTCAAAGAAAAGGGCATGTCAAATATGAATGTCCTCTTCTAAAGAAAAAGGGGAAGAAGGCATTTGTTGAATCTTGGAGTGATGAAGATGATTCCAATGATGAAGATGAAGTAGTCAACCTATGCCTCATGGTCACTCATGAAGAAGTTGAGGTATCTTCTAACTCAAATGAATTTAATTCATTTACTTTTGATGAGTTACAAGATGCTTATAATAGGTTGTATTTGGGATTTGAGACCATGAATTCCAAATATACGAAATTAATTTATAAACTCAAAATTAAAGATAATTTTATTTTGAAAGCAAAAGTTGATTTTGAAAATCAAAATGAAATTTTGAAAAATGATTTAGAGCTTTAAAAAATCAAAATAAATGATTTAGAAAAGAAAAATTTTGAGTTAGAAGTTAAGCTTGAAGGCTTAACAAAAGAAAAAGAATTAATTTCTAAAAATAACCTATTATGTGTAAAAATGGCAAAATGCTCACATTACCATTTTCATGGTCATTTGGAACATACTTGTCCTTTGAAGAAAGGAAAACGTTTTAAAATTAGACAAGTTTGGGTTCCAAAAGGAACAATGGGCATTGAAACTAATGTTCAAGGATCCAAAGCAATTTGGATACCAAAATCTACTTAAATGTCTCTTGTAGGTGTGTGGGAGCAATGGTGATGAAAGTGATGATATTCAAGATGCTCTAGCCACATTTGAAAAAGGAATGGGTAACCTCTAAGCTTAATGCTTTTAATTTAGGTTATTTGGTTGCTCATTTGATTTTAAGCATGCATGAGTTTTGGTTTTAAATGATTATGCATCATTGTTTTAATCTCATGTATGTTGAAAAGATGATTATGATGAACATTTATTTTTGAGAATTTTTAGTTCATCATAATGAATTTTGTTCAAAATTGGTTTTAAATGCTAATGATATCTCTCTAGCAATTGATATCAAACTTTTTAAAATTGCATAACATTTTTGGAAAACTTTATGCAAATGCACTTAATTTTAACAATTGGTATTAATATCAAATTTCAACAATTGGTATTGCATAAAGTATTTTAGACTTGGATATATTGAATTTCATGTGCTACAAACATGTTTGTTATTCTTTTTAGAAATTCAATATTTTGTTTAAGTGTCAAGATCTTAAAAACTTAATTTTGTTTGGAATACATTTATTGAGGGGAGCTTTGATTTTTCAAATGATTTTTTAAATGTAAAATTTACTACTTACTCTCCAAAGTTATTTTAAACTTCAAAGATCGAATTATTTTTGATATAACAAAAAGGAAGAGAAGTTTAGTTTGAAAAATTCAATTTCTTAATGAAAAAGGGGGAGCTTAACATTTTCATATATTTTCCAACAACTAGTATCTTTTTCATTAAACATTTTATTAAGGGGGAGTTTTTGCCAAAAATAATTTTTCAAATGTTTTGTTATATCAAAAAGGGGGAGATTGTTGAACTATGTTTCGATATAACAATTTAAGGCAAAATGGTTTTTGGACTTGAATTGAATTTACAAAATGTATTTGGACTTAATTGAATTTATTCAAAATTTACAAAATTAATTCAAAGTTCTTTTAATTTAAAATTGAGCACAAAAATGTTTTTATAAATAGTAATTTACTATTTGAACAGTAAATTACTATTTGAACAGTATCCCGAGGCTCAAAAATTCTAGTATATAAAAGGGGAACCGATTCCCCCAAGGGGGTACCGATTCCCTCACTGTTCATCAGCCCAACGGTCATAATATTTGAATATTATGAAGGGGTATCGATTCCCTATGAAAGGGTACCGATTCCCCCCATTCTGGGCAGCCTATTTTTGTAGAAAAATCATTCCCAAACGGCTCTAAAACATCCCCAAAGGCTAGATATGACTTCAAACACATTCCAAGCTATAAATACAAGCTAAGGACACTTGAAGAAGTAAGAGAACAACTATCCAAGCAATCAAACACAAGAGAAGAGTTTTTCATTCTTATTTCATTTTTCTCTTGTATATATTTTGTTCTTGTGAGCTCAATCTTGTAAACACCTACCTTAGAGAGGTTTTCTTGTTTACATTTCTTATCCTTTTGTAAAGGGGAAAGATTCTAGCTAATCCCGTGTAAAAGCTAGGGAAAGGTTCTAGTTTAGCCCGGTAAAACTAGGGAGTTTGTAAGGTTACTCTTTATCCTCAAAAGAAAGAACAAATTAGTGAATTTGTTGGAAAATCCTTGGTGAGGAGCTAAGGTAGTGGACGTAGACTTTGATTGAGAAAGTCGAACCACTATAAATCGCTGTGCAATTCTCTATCTTTCAATCTCCTTACTCCCTAAACACAAAACCGTTCCGACCCCTCTTTGCAAACCGTTCCTGTTGTCGATTCGAGCTTCCGAAAATCCTAACACTTAGAATACTTGAAACTTGACTCTTGAAAGGAAGAAGAAATGGAAACTAATGGAAGGAAGAAGAAGAAGAAGAGTGGGTGAGATATTATGGGGACTTTAGTTACGTTAAATGATATAAAAAGAGGGAAAGTTTTCAGCTTTAACAAAAAAGGTAAACTACACTTTAAGTCCTTCTTCTATTTACTAACTTTTAAAAACACCATTTTCCTATAATTATTGGGCCAACCTAAGCACAATACTCTTAAGAATTGGTCTAAAATTGGCTTGGAAAATCTAATGGGCTCTACTGACGGGTTTCGAGTTGACCGAAACTTCTAACCCGAAATTCGGGGCATTACACACCCACTAAAATCATGTCTACGAACCTAGATCAGTCTGAACTAGTCAAAATAAAACCTTGGGAATCAGAAGAGAAAAAAAAATCTAAATAAGAAAATGACCTTGGAAGAGAGATGAGTATTTACCTCTCTTTTGTCTTGTATTATACGTGACTCAATGAGACTAAAAGAAATCGATTCTTTCTAAATGAATTTATTTGTTTCGAAATATAATTTCAAAACCAAAGGTATCACAAAAAATTATTAGGGTTGGTTCAAGTGAAAAAAAACTTTATATACATTAAGTAGAGTCTTAGATTTGAGTCCTTCTGTACGTAAAAAAAATCTATATTGAGAGACTTATCCACCAAAACTAGACGTGATAGAGGGGTTGGTTAATATTTATATATTTAGTTATTTTAAAATATTTTTTAATTATATAATTCTTCATTGACTTAGAGTCCACTAAATGTGTGACATATTACACAAAATAAATTTGGATTAGTGGAGAAATAGGAGGAAATAGATGAGGTTGAGAAAAGTGAGTAGATGAGCATGAGTTAATGGATGATCTATTGATGCAACTCCAAAAGAAAGACTTGTCCAATAATCTAAACAATATGCCACCATGGAAAAAGCATATTCATTATTTTTCCTCATGCCATCCCACCGTTACCTTAATTATCTCTAATTACCATTAACTTATTAAATATATCAAAATAAAGTTTACACACAATAAGATTTAAAGACTAATTACATAAAGTAAGGGTCAGATACTCAGATCTGAAATATCAAAGTTAGTGATCCAATAAGAGCAAGACAAATTATTTCAACTTTTGATGGTGAAAAAGTAGACAGATTCGGATAATGAACAAGTGAGTTTATCAAGGTCCACTTCCGGATCACGGGTCACCAATTCTCAAATCATCAGCTCTTTAAACCCCACTAGCAAGAGCAAAATTCTCCCATTAGCTTTTGAGACACCCCCATTGGATATATATATATATATATATCTGTTCCTTGGGTGGCGGACGGGGGTCAGAGGTTTCGGTTTCGGATTCCGTTGATCCCCACCCTCCGCCGCCGTAAACTGTTTGCCGCTGCTTAGACCGATAGCTCGGCCTAAACAGAAGCACGCATGGAAGATAGATATATGCAGTGGAGGGTTTTGGCTAATGCAATGGCAAATTGGCAAGTCACGAGAAGGGCAATGAACTCATATCTATGAGTCTTTTTTATCTGGATATGTATATATATATATATATATATATATATATATATATATATATATATATATATATATATATATATATATTGTTTGTTGTATGGTATTAAGCGTTTTCAATCATGGTTGTTGAAATGTAATAAAAAAGAAGCTGTGCGATTAGAGCAGAAACTCACCCTTTGATTGACGTGTGAATTTGCTTGTTTCGAGATTTGCTGTCTGTTGCTGCAAATGGATCGAGTAATTTATTACAAATTTAGTCCTGTATTTTGTGAATGACTCGGTTGATTGATTTCATTAGGAAAGTTATGGCGGTGACACAAGAGAGAGCACATTTCTACTAAGATCTTTATTGTTCACAAATGCCATCTGTGTCTGCCTGAGATCTCGATTTTCATTTCTCCGCAGACAATTTCAGATGGTTCAGTAATATGAACTAAAACTTTACTTTATGAGGCTTCTGCCACAATTTCAAATAGACATCTAATCAACATATCCCAAAGGAAAAAGGAAGCGTAAAACAATCTGAAACTGAATACAAGAACCGACCACTTATGCAGTTGCAGTGATGTATTGGATGGCCTCCTGGCATATACCAGTCATTGTAGCTTCAGGACCATAAACCTGTGAGACAAGCATCCAAACAATTTATATGTTACGGTGACTAAACGATCCTAAAATAATAAAAAGGACAAGAACGCGTAGATTTATGTAAAAAGTTTTAGAACTATACGAGAATATATCAGACATCAAAATCCTAATTATATATATAGTTGTATAAACACAATAAGGGGCGGAGATAAAAAAAATATTTTGGGGTGTCAAATTTAAAAATTATGTGAAGATTTTCTTTTTAAGTGAGAAAATTGAGTTTTAATTTTTTTTCTTTTGTTAAATACTTTTTAAAAGATGAGATCAATTTCTTTTTAAAGTGTGTCAAAATCTTTTTAAAAAGTGATGTCATTTTTCTTCTTTATATATTATATTATATATATATAATTTATATGGCAAAAAAGAAATTTTAAAAACTTGTAGGGTGTCAATTGACACCCGTCAATAGGTACTGGCTCCGCCAGTGAACACAATAACTCTAGTTGAATAAAATTATATCGCGAATGAAATTCAGGTCACAAAATCTGACAATATATATGAACAATTTTTAAATTTATCTTTCCGAATAGATATACCTTATCTTTTTCCTTCTTTTATTTATTCATATTTAATTAACGGGAAGGGAAGGGATTGTCCAGGTCATAACAAGGATTTAAGCATTTCAGGTCATTTGTTCATCTTCATTTGCATTATTAGATTTGGAGTGTTATATAAGTAGTTGTATAGGATAGGGATACCTCAATGGGGATGCCAATTTCATCTCCAAGTGCCCGCATTTTTGCAAGTCCCTTCTGGTAATTGGGACCTCCTCTCCTCACGTATATGTGCATATTGGCTGCTTTGAGCTTTAATTCCTGTAAAAATGATTTAGAATAGCATTTCTGGTTATTCTTAAATGTATATGAAGGATGATGAATAAAGCAAATGCAAATATAATTGAGCTCACCTTCTCCTTCAAGGCTCGAATGATGCCATTGAATGTAGCGCCCACATCGGTAAAGTTGGCTATTCCACCACCGATTACAAGGGCTCTTTCACGACCATCAGGTTCAGCAGTTGCACACTGTAGAGGAACAATGAAATTATTTGTACGGCCAAAATCATAGAAACCAGTTTGACTCAAGTGTGAGTATTGGATAATACGTGTCTCCAAGTTTTTTCAGATCATTTGGAGGTCATATCATAATCTCATACCAGCCGTCTAAGACTGGTGATTCAAGAAAATAAAGAGTATGAGCAACATAGACTAGGCTAATGTATCATAGAATCTTCAATAAAGTTGGTGGACAGCATTAGCTGGTCAAGTACAAGACAGAGTTTCAACTCTAACAATGTTATAATGTGAATAAAGTTACAGGATTCTTACATCAATTACGACTCTGGCATACTGCAAAACTTCCTCTTCGTTGGGTGCTCCACTGTATTCGGCATAATTCCCGAGCTCAGAAGCGAATCCAAGATCTCCAACCTGACGGGGCATATATATATAAGTAAATTAAAACATGGCCAATAATTCAAATCACCAGGCTTTAGTCTTATCCTGAAAACTTTGAATGCAGAAAACAGAGGACCAACCGTATCGGCATAGATGACACTAGCACCTCCTCCAGCAACCATTGTCCAAATGCGTCCCTTAGGGTTCAACACGGTAAATTTCAAAGATGCACTTGTCTGCAAAATTTTAATTTAAAAGTTAATATTTTACTTGTGGATGAAGGTACTAAATGAACATCACACTTCAGCAGAGAAGAATTCTTAGATTGTAATTTTTTCAGTAAAACAATCATTAAGACTGAATTGAAATTCAGGTTTACTTTAAGATAACATATAAAAATTGTCATATCTGCCATATCAGATATAGATCAAGTTTCTTCTGCAATTAGGTGATTAGCAAGTAAAAGACTTTGCCATCTAATACATCTAGAATACCTTCTCATCTAGCCCATGAATATAGCTTTCAGTTGCACTCATTACTCTTCCAAATGGCATTGGGAATTCAATATTACCCCCCTACAGAGAAATGAAATTGCATCAGATGCTTTCTTCCCAGCTCCATATTACATTGAATTGATAAAATTAAGAAAATATTGATGAAAGGGGATATACTTCTTGAAGTTCTTGAAAGAAGCAGTGTCATCAAGCTCGCCTCTCATATCCAAAGGATAAGGCTTTTCATCAACCAGTGTGAAAGGGTTCATCTCAAGGAAAGTGAAGTCAAGATCTAACATTTTGGCATTTTGAAACTTGAAAAAGTTAATGGCAAGTTCCAAACTTTAATACGAATACCGAAGAGTATTAGGTTCAAAACCGATATATGGCATACCTTGAAATAGAGTAAAGATCACTTTGATGAACTCCTCAATTTCTCCTTTGATCTATAATTATATAACATAGAATTGTCAAAGATTCAGAGTGTATTTTACTGTATTCAGATATATAAATTTACTGATTTAATTGGTAAAGTTCTAAAGTTGACCATTACACAAGGAAAGCGCTCCAGTTATGAAATAGAAAATCCAGTACTGGAAATTAATGACCTTAAAGTACTAGTGAAACTACGATCAAGATGCAGAAACAGCTCGCAAAATCATTAACTATTTGGAAAAATTACCTCCAAGGGAAGGGTTGCAACAAGTGGGGCACAAGCCTCTGATGTGAAAGATGAATCGGTTGGGACAAATATGGTCTTTACCTGTATTAAGGTACCACCGTAAGAAATAGAAGAAATAAAGAATTTTAGCTTATCTTACAGTACCTTGTCCCAGTTCTCTTCAATTTCAATTCCTCCACACTCTGAAAAGCTAATGCTGTTACCGAGTCGCTCCGAGACAATGTTAAGGTAGAACTCTTCATTGTGAGGAATGAAAGGTTCAACAATGAATGTTGTTACAGGTCCTTTACATCCACCCATTTCCACCTGCAAGTCATCGAGAGGTTAACACAAAGCCTAACCTTAAACCTTACCAATAATATCAAATTAAAGGTAGTAAGTAGTAACCTCTTTGCCGAGGCGCTCTTTCACAAAAGCAATAACTTGAGCGAAATCAAGATTTAAGCCAACCAAACCACTCTTCCCACGCTTTCCAAACAACATATCAGGTTTAACAACCAGCTTCTGCGACAAAATCCATGGCTCCTTCTCTGCTAACTCATTGAAATCAGTTGACTCCGTCACCTAAACTCAGCAGCACAACCAAGCAAACAATTTGAAATTCAATACTTGCAGCAATCATTCATAAATGAATCAAGGAAAGATAAACATCCTCCAAATTATATTCAAAAGTTCCTGATCTGGACAGAGTACTATTCTTTCGTAAAATAAACAAGTAATTTTGTTTCGAAATACTACTAATAAATTATGTGGCTAAACATGCGAAATATTGAAGGAAAAAAAAAGATCCGAAAGGAGAAATTGAACTGACTTGTGCAGATTTGATTGGCAAATCTTTTCCGGAAAGCCTTTTGAAATGCTGCTTCAACAATCTCTTGGAATCGTACTCTCTGATCTTCTTGCGCGCCATTTCTTCGTTCTTTCCCTCGTTCTTTTCTCTGCAAAATCAAGGCGTAAACCTTTATAATTCAGATCTGGAAAATAAAATCTCATGAAAGATGAGAGAAAATTGAAATGGAAAAATACCGTTGAAACACAGGCGGTGGTAGTTAGAGACTTAGAGCTATTGCGTTCGAAACTCTGTTTTGTCACTCAAGTTTTCGTTTGGTGTATGTATTTATATTCGAGGATTTGGATTTTTTTTATTCTTTTATTTCTGTTCATTGCTGAAATCAAACAAATGCATTTCACCTAACCGCTACATACCAAATTTTAAATAAACAATAAATTATTAATTAATAGTTTACTAATTATTATTTAATATATAAATTATAAAATATTCATTTGCTGAAATCAAACACATGTGATACATCTAACCGCTACGTACTAAATTTTTACATAATTTATATGTCATATACTTTTTCTTAATAAAATGTTATTATAAATTAACAGCTAATAAGATTAATTCAAAGGATTCTCGGTTAATCAATAACTCTAATGCTAATTTTTTATATCTTAATATAAGTATTAGGGTAAAGTACACAAATGATCTTCTTATTATAGAATATTTCTTTATTGAGTCTTTTCACTATTAAATGTTACAAAATGGTCCATCGACTATAGGGAGTTGCTTTGTTGAGTCCCTCGACTATTAAAAGTTACAAAATGGTCACTCTACTATTCATTATGTTCCAAACTCGTCCTTTTCCGTTAAAAATTAACGGTCACCTGAGCTGAACGTTGACGTGTTGACTGAGATATGGTAGTCATTGAGAGTATGCGATCATATTTATCATATCTCAGTCAGTAGGTTAACGTACATCTCAGAATGTTGTTAAAAAATTTAACGAAAAATTACGGTTTTAGATCATAATGAATAGTCGGATGATCGTTTTATAACTTTTAAAAGTAGAAGGACTCAACAAAACAACTCCTTATAGTCGGAGGACCATTTTGTGATATTTAATAATCAAAAGATTGAATAAAGCATTATCTTATGATTAAAGGATCATTTTTCCCCAGTATTATTACGATTAACATAAGTTGAAACCGATAATAAAGACATTTGTCCATTTAATAAACATGCTATTTTTTATCTTATTTCAATTAATGTGTGAGTCACGATGACATTAGAGTGGACTACTCTATGCTGTTTCAGTCCAAATGTTGGAACTTTAAGATAGAGATTTGATGAAGAAGACGTCAGGTGCACTCATAGCCGTTGATAATGTATGTATTTGAGGGTGATGATGACAAAAGGCGGCTGCTGCTATTCCAGTCCAAGTTTTGGAATTTTTAAGATACTGCAATGCTTACATTATTAAATATCAAACAAGTAATATATGTGATTCTTATTTTTGAAGAGTGAAATGATCATCCAGCTCAGTTGGTAGAGCACAAGGTTCTTAATCTTGAGGTTGTGAGATCGAGTCTCATGGAGGGTATTTCATAATTTGGAGGTCTCCTACGGAAGTTGCTCTCAACTTAGTGTTGGAGGCAGCCTACTATCTTACTTCCCCTTACCCCCCATTATATATGGGAACAAAGGACAGCCATTTATTTTTTATTTTTGAAGAGTCCAGTTAAAATATTTCAAACTTTTGTACGCATTTAACTATCGATGTTTTTCTAATAAATTTCAAGTTGAGCGGCTTGTCGTTTTGACAATGTTATCAACGCTTTTGTTGAGCTTAATTTGAATTGCATATTTTTCTTAGACTAAAGAGTAAATATTATATATATAGTGCGTATTCTCAAAGCCCGTGTCCCATCGTATTTTAATTGAAACAAGCAATCATGCAGTACGAACGCATACGAACTTAAACTTACAAAATTTTAGAGAAAAAATATATTTTCAATAGAAAATACAATTAGGGGACGACTGCTCCCACTCATCCCGCCTAGGTCCATCCCCTGATGCAGTTAGACCTTTGGTTTGGCAGTGAAGCAACCTTAGAATTGTTGGTCACTTGCCATGATTTGGACATTGGTAATCTCTCACTTTCTTCTATCTTCTTGAGTCGTTTTAAAGAGTTAACTATACCCCTTTTAAAATCTTTTAAAACATGAATTGGTGTACTATATAGTATTAATAATAAAAAGATGGTTGAAACCAATCAAATTATTATAGTATTAAAGTTGGGTTCGGAATGCGAGTCAAGAAGGAAGAAATTGATGATTTGTTGCATGAAAAAATAAATAATTCATTTGAGTCAACACTGACGGCACAAGAAAAATAAACATTGTGGTTCTGATTTGATTTCCACAGAAAACAAACTCCCTGGGTTCGCCGGAGCTGTAAAATATATTAATTATGAAGATTATTTGACTTTAGTAGCACTGCACTGACTAGTCCCAAATGCACTTCAAACCCCACGATATTTGGGTATGCTTTCTAACTCTAAGGGTAAACTATACCAAACTTTTAAGATTCGTAATATAATCATTAGTTTTTTCGTTCGTTTTCATTATAATTATTATCGTAGATTAACGTGACACGTTAAAATCATTTTATTCTAAAATTTTAAAATCTTCTTCTAAATGAATAGCCTCCATCTCTTTTTACGCAGTCACCATTTCATCACTGAACACATTACTCATTGTATTTGCACCATAAGTACGGTATACAAAACCCAAAGTACCGGTGTTCTAAAGTTTTTGGTAAATTACCGATAAAATTTAGTACAATTTATGGGAGGATGGTAGTATTTTTATTTCCTTCTGGGGCAGACAGTATTGACCTTTGCTTATTAATTTTTAGGTAAATTATGCGTTCAGTATTTAAATTATCGATTTTGGTTCATTTTAATACTTAAAATTTTAATTTCTTTCAAAACCATGTCTAAAAATTAGTTTTTATTTCATATTAATACCCCAATTCAAAATTTAACATTAAGTTCTGAAAAACATAAAAATATAAGTACTTAAACAAACCAAGACTGATTATTTAGGTACTAAATGCACAATTTACCCTTATTTTTATGGCCACAGCAATCTAGCCAAGAGCTCCTTTTTGTTTTATTTGTACCATTCAATGGACCATAGATTTGGTAATTTCCTCGTTTCTACTTAGAGGTAGCATTTTTCCATATTCTTGTTTTTGGTATTACTAACTTAGGCTGCGTCCAAGTGCTCGCATATTCATATTTGTACAACAAAATTTAACCAACATATACAGATTAAATTGGATGTTAGCTGCTTTTAATGAACAACCTATGGCTGCATATAAACTCTGTATTATTCTTCAGAAAATATCCTGCTTTGCAGATATATAAAACAAATTTCAAATGTTCAAATATTTATCTTTCTAAAGATAATTATAAGAAGTTAAACTTGGAATTTCATATAAAGTACCTTCTGATTCTATCTTTGGAGCAGGAAGAGATTAAAGACCTTTCCATTGTACATTAGTCTGATATTCAGGATAAATACCTAAAGCATCAAATTCATAAATCATCGCCTTTGACCACACAATTGTCCCAAGAAACAACATAGATAGCATTCGAATCACTTTTCAGCATTTGAAATCCCAGATAGTTTTCATACATACAAGGATTCACCGTAGAACTAAAACTAAAGATAACAACTAGACTAATACTATTTAAGTCCTTTCATTTCTATGGATTCAGACCATGGTCCACTTACACAAAACTGATAATCTTGGAACAGAGCATTAAGTTCTACATGTTTTCTCAACTGGTCTCCGACTTCTCCAATGCTGCCAAAAAGAATACGGAGAGTCAATGTAAGGCAATAACAATGAACTTCCATGAACGGAATGAGAGCAGGAAAGGGAGGCAGATAAATTACTGTTGTAGTTCAGAAGCTTCTCGATGAGGTCCACATGAGTCATTAGCATTCTCCTACAGCAATATCGAACCAATCCCAAAGCATCAAGAGCATCTCTGCAGGTCAAAAAAATTCACGGTTTATTCTCTGCAATATCATTCCAATTGTTGATGCCTTGGATGAGTTCTGTTAATGAAGACTGATTCAAAGATCAGCAATAATCAAATAATAAATAGATTTGATTATGATTTGCATCAACCTGCAACATAGAAATATCAAATACATGCTCCGTCTCTCGGATGCATTTACTGATGTTTCAGCAAATGGAAATGGTACAAAAGAAGTCGATGGGCATGAATAACTCAACCACATGATTGAGAAATGATTCAGATTTCAAATTGCTGAAAGGCAATTAGGATTGATTTATTATTTAGCTAAACCATTTCTCTCTTTACCAATATATTCCTCCACTTCCAGAACTTTCAACTTCCCTTAGCAATCAAACAATCTAATTTCTCCAGTATTTACTTCTTAAATCACCCAGTTCCCAATCTCATCCTTGTAAGAATTTTCCTACGAGCTAATTTTCCAAAAAGTACTAGCACCTCTCTTTTTTTAACCAAACTCTTTCCAACAAAGTACCTAATTTGGGTGTTTCTGGATCACACAAATCACTAAGACATGCAAATTAACCAAAGAAAGAACAAAAAAACTTGGAGAAAGGATTTCGGTTTAGCACAAAGGCAAAGTCATCTCCTAGTGTATGAATCCTAAGATTAGTAGCTCTGTAATTGAGAATATAACAGTTTCCATTCAACAAAATGATCATATTAATTGAAAACATGTATCAAATTGTACACAGCTGTGAGTTAGAGGTAAAAGGCAAAGATTTAGACTATTCAGGTTTAAGCACACGCATGGAAATCTTAAGCAACCAGAGCACCCAAATTAAAGCTTCCTTAAAGTGCTCCTAAAGATACCGATCAAGCAGTCACAATAAAGAAGTTTAGACCCAGATAACAGCAACAAACACGAACCAAAGTAAAATCACCAGAAAACAAGTTTTAGGCACACGAGACTATTATTCATAAAAAAAATCACTTAATCCCTTCAAAACAGCTAAAATAGATGGACTGGAATTGACACAAACCCTTCGGTATAGTCGGCCTGGAGAAGATCGAGATAAGTGTCCCATTTGTTACCAATGACCTACAAGAATAACCAAACCAAACTTGCGGTTTAAGAAACAAACAAAGAAAGCGAAACCCTAAAATTCACTTGAAAGAAAGAAACCCACGGGAAAGTACCTTTCCGCAGGTGAAGCAACGAACTGGGATGATCATCTTGCTATGCTACCTGTTGGTCTCGACTTTGAAGTTTGTCCTGCCTCTCTCGGACTACTCACCTTCCAATTTATACTACTACTCGCGCCCTAAAAGCTTCTCACTGGGATTTTAACTTTGCCTAGTAGCGCGGCCGCTTCACCAAATACCGTTGCCTCGAAACTCCGTCGTTTCATACATAAACTAGACCAAAATTTTAGGTTCAGTATGCTCTTAACCCCAATCCAACTCTTTTATTAAGGGTGTACACAATTTGATTTGATAATTTTTTTTAACAATTTATCGAATTTCAGTTCAATTAGCTTGTTTTAAATTTTAATAATTCGTATATAATGTCTTAAAATTATTTCACTGTTTCCCAAACCACCACCATCAATCCATCATCAGTTACCTGCTATCATCATTTAACATCGCCCAACTCTTCACTTACCTTTGGGGCTTTGGCTTAACAATTTATACCATTTAATATTTGGAAACCACTTTTATTAGAACACTTTAATGGACAAAAACATCAAGGCATGGGCAACACCACCTACCATTTGTACACAACCAACAGGCAAAAAGTAAGATAGGGGTGGCTTGGGAGATTGAACAAAGGATGCTTTTTGCCAACTCCATTTCAAGAGAATGGGTACACTTTGAGAAAGGAAGTGGGGATACGCTGGATGTCACACACAATGAAAGGGTAATTATATTTTCATCTTTCAAAGAATTTTGCTTCGCAGTTTTAGGATAAGTACACTTGGACACCAGCAATTTCATTACCATGCATACAGGACAAACTTTGATTGATAAATCACAGTCTTTACATAAGCATAGATGCCTGCACGGCATCACTAAAATGGATACCTCCTTGCCTTTGCAAGCTCTGCAAATAATGTGTTCCTTCGTGGAACTGGAAACACCTTTTGCAGCACCGAGAGGGGCACTGAGAAAATTGTTCGGATCGATGTATGAGGCAGCATCATCGACTTCATTGTCTCCGAAACCTTCCTTCACCTGTTGAGGGCCCTGCGAGATTACTTGCTGAAGGTTGCTCTTCAACAAGTTAACAACCGACTCGTTGTACTTTGCTCTATAATGCCAATTTTGGGCTTCTGCAGTCACCTGCTTTACTCTCTCAACAAGTTCCCTATTCTTGTTGTTCACAGTCTCTAGCTCTCTGTCTTTCTCCCTAAGCTTCTTGCTGATGCCTTTTCGATAGCAGCAAGGAAAGAAGTCGTGTGTTTCTGCTTCATGTCTCTTATTCCCTTTGACAGGTTGTCTTCCTATTAAGAGAATAAAATGAACCAAAAGTTACAAAACCATGCCAACACATTTAAGCCAATATCCAATTACATAGTTATATATAAACCTTTTATTAGAATAATGTGACTGATAATCAATGAAACCCCCAATAAAGTGAGATAATAAAGAAAGAAGACATTTTATTTTTATTGGAATGCATCAGATTGTATCAAATTAATACCTGAATTTTGATGTACTGATCAAACTCCTGTTTCTGACGATCAAGTTCACTTCTAATGTTGTCACCAAGTGACAAGATCATCGATGGTCCTTGTGTCATGCTTCCACTACCAGATGTCACAGTTGAATTTCGCTCATCATCATCATATGATAGCCGCAAGCCAGTTGAGACAGCATTGGGATTTGGAATGTTAGCAGGACAATCGGCTTCCTCTTCACAAATGTTGTAGTTCAAGGAAATTTGTAGCTTTTGCTGCCTTTGAACATCTTCTGTTTCTCTGCCTCTTTTATTGGGTCGAATCATGGGAGTGAGATGTTCATTTACAAAATAATTCACAGGATCAACATTGCACCCGACTGGCACTGATGGTTTTAAAAAATTATGAATCAGTACTGAAAATTTGAGAGGATGCCAAAATAGGGCAGTAAAAGAAATAACTTAAAAATGAATCTAATTGCAAAGGTAAAGTAAAAAGATAGCTTACAGCTTCCAAATAACTGCAATTGGTTTGATGCATTAGCCTGATTCTGATATTGAAGATGATTCTCATCCAGGAAAATGGGAAGCACAGGATTACCGTTGTTGCCTCCCAACATTCTCCTTACAAAACTTAAATTACTTAGATTTCTATAGCTCTTTGATGAATACCCACAACTGAGAATTTGCCTGCCCTAGAAAAGGAAAATACAGTTTAGACTCCAAATTATAAACAATGAATTGATGAAGTACAAATACAGAACAATGAGTCTAGTATCAGGGTTCATTGTCTCCATTTTCGATACCGTCACAATGCAATGTCAGATTATAATAGGCATTAACGAGAAATAAGATTCCATACCAATATGTTATAACAAAAAATACACTACTAATACATGTTCAATCTATATATTCAGGGAAGAAGAAACAAAGTGGCCATGTACTTGTCTTCCTTGTATTAGATTCAAAATAAACGGATTTCTAATTCCAATAATCCATCAAACACCACAAGGACCATCACGGGCTAATCCGGCGAAAGTTCAAGCACATGAATGCTCGCAAACCCCCATATTATATCAAATATATATATCAAATATCTTTAGAAATTCAACCACAAAGGTGACAAACAAACACCTTGGGGAGGAACAGTTTCGTAAAGTTCTCCTTCTACCTCGGCAAAGAAACTTCTACACTGTGGTAAGGGTAAATAAAAGATCACGCAAATGCCTTGGTGATGGTCTCGAAGATCAAGCTTGATAAAAAAGAATAGGACTGAATTTATGAATATTGCTTCCTAGAAAAATACTGTTGTCTTCAAAAAACAAAAGAGTTTCTTTGTCTACATAGAAATTCCATGACAATCAAATTCATATAACCGAAGGTAAAACCTGGACAAAAAAAAAGCTTGGAACTTGATTGTGGGAAAGGAAAATGTTGAGGTAAAAGAAACACAAAACAAAATCAAACCCAGAGATACGAATCCAGTTCTGATCTCTCTAATGATTCCGATGAAACAATTACAAAAAAAAACCCACACACAAAAAAACCAAATTACCTGCGCGAGATGAAAGCACTATCGATTTCGATTCCCACAAAAAGTAAAGTCCCAGATCCTACTATTTCAAAACCAATCCTCAAACACCCAGAAAAGAAGTGAAACCCATAAACAAAACTCAATAAATAGCGAGTCAATAAGAAACGTACCTCAAAATGTAACGTTTACGGAGAAGAAATCAAAGGGATGAACCGATCATTAAGGATCTGAGAGAATCGGGCTCAAAGAAAGATTACAAGAGAAAACAAAGCGAAGAAACGAACGGCTAGAGAATGCAGAAGATAATTAAATAAGAACGAAAAAAGAGAAAAAGAAAGGAGAATAGGCAACGCAGAGTGTGGGGAGAAGGTGGAGAAAGCAAAGAATTATTGAAAATAAATAAATAAAGGGTGGTACAAACAAAACAATGTAGAGCGAGGAAGTAAAGTTTTGTTTTTTTTTTTGGTTTTCTAAAGTAATAAATTTTGAAATTACCGAAGATAACTGCGGCAGTTTGCCAGTTTTTTTTAACGTCTTGTTTGGGTCAATTTATTTAAACAAAAATCAATTAAATCGGTAGTTTCGTTAGGTAGGCCAGCCAATTCCGTAACTTGAATGGAACTTCCATTTTTCCCAATAATTTTTAAATCTACAATAATAAATTTAATATTATAAAATTATATTTTATCAGTTTGATCTTATTTTTAATTAAATTTAGGGTAAATTACGTATTTAGTATATGTACTATCAATTTTGGTCAATTTTAATACCTAAACTTTCAACTTTTTCAAAATCATGTCTAACGTTTAGTTGTTGTTTCATTTTAGTACACTGCTATTAAAAACTTAATGAACGAGCTAATGTGACATAGCTCCGGTGGACGGACGACCAACCGAATGGTGAATCACGAGAGAATGACGAGCTGATCAACATAGTTTAATTCAGGCCCATCGGACGTTAGACAATAGAGATCGAAGGATGAAGAAGTCGAAGATTCCATCATCGATTATCAATTTGGGAATATTGAGGTATTTTTCGGTGAAACAGAGACTGAAATCATGTTTAGGAGGTCGAAAAGGTGTGAGCTAGAAAGTTTGGGCTTCATTGGCAGACAAATGCAACAACCGACGATTGTAGATGCGACGACCGGCGAGCCCGTCCGTTAAATTTTTAACAACTGGTACTAAAATGAAAGTTTAGGTACTAAAACATACTAAAATTAATTGTTCATGTACTAAACGTATAATTTCCCCATAAATTTATTATTAGATTTTAATTAAATTACTTTATTTTAAAGAAAATACCGATTAAACTGATTGGACAAATTCAACTAAAATCATGTAATGATTCAATTCACAAAGTAAATCGATATATGTTTTTGAACGTGAAATTAATTTTGTTATTAATTGATAGTGTATTTATTAATTACATATGCATAATAAAATATTTAGTAGCAAATATTCCCTAATTGAATAATATATATATATATATATATATATATATATATATATATATATATATATATATACTCTACCAATAATCAGTTAGTCTAATACGATGAGGCTCTAGATCCCTTAAACAAAGTCAGGGGTTTGAATTATGACGATTGCGAATGGAGCAAATTGGGTTGAGAGGGTCACTCTTGCCTCTATAGTGTCCGATCCATATTAGTCGATCAATAGATCAAATATAGGTGGTTATACCAATATATATATATATATATATATATATATATATATATATATATATATACTCAACAAATTATAAATTATAAGATATTTGAATGAGATTTGTTTAATTGAATCACAGTTCAATTGAATCAATAATTTCCACTTAGTCTAATGCTTGCACTTTGTTTAGAAATTAAATATTATATAGTTTTAATACTTGAAGAATATATATAGATATACATACGAGGTATAATTTTATTTGACCGACGTAATCCACTTTCTTATATATATATAAAAGTAAATTTATTAAATTTATTGAGTAATTTCGATAGTTAAAGATTTTGAGAGATATATTAAATTATTATATCTGTAATATGCATAATTAATGATTACAAAATTATGGATAATAATATATTATAGTAGTCTCAAATTATTCAAATAATAATTTCAATCATTTGTTTTAAAATATAATAAAGTATAAAAATAGTCTCCAGATTCTAAGATGGTACTTTGTTGAGTCATCTGACTATAAAAATTATAAAATGGTTCCTCGATTATAGGATATTATTTTTTGAGTCCCATGACTATTAAAAGTTACAAAATCATCACTTGACTATTTATTACGTTCTGAATTTTCTTTTTCTATTAAGAATTAACGACATTCTGAAATGGAAGTTAATCTATAGTTTGAGATACGATAAAATTTGATCCTAGAGTTTCAAACGACTATCTTATCTCAGACAGCAGATTAACATCCAACTCAAACCACCGTTAACTGTTTTAACGAAAAAGGATGAGTTTGGAATATAATGAATAGTTGAGTGACCATTTAATAACTTTTAATAGTTGGTGGACTCAATAAAGCAATGCCCTATAATAGGATGACTATTTTATAATTTTTAATAGTCAAAGAACTCAATAAAGCAGTATACTATAGTCAAAGGACCATCTGTGTACTTTACCCTTTGAAATATTTGCATTTTAATTACTATTTTTTTAAAATTTAAATTAGACGAATGTAATGTCAAGTTTAAAAAATTACGTGACCAAGGCGTAAATTAACGTAAATTTATAATGGATAAAAACATCCGAATAAAACTCAAAAAGACGCGGATTGATGCTAAAGGGAACGGCCATGGATGAAAGGTTGAAGAAGGTCAAAGATAAGCTGTTTGACTGATAGATTCAACGAATCATATTCATTATTATTTTCCCACCCATATTTTCCCAAGAAAAAGAGAAAGAAAATTCAACTTGGTGATTCACGCCACCAGTAGGTGGCGGAATAATAATCACGCCGGTTTTGACAATTTAAAATTTTCATTATTACGGGGTTTTTATGATCTCACCAGCGACAATTTTCCACCAAATCCCTTGTTGTTTTTTTTATATATTATCTTCCAATGAGATGCCAGCTGGGTTAGATGCAGAGAGTCTCAGAGATCAAAAGCTCTTCCTTTTTTTATTTTCTTTTCTGTTTTCTGGGTTTCTTAAGCTCAAAATTGTAAAGGATAAAAGTGGATCATCTCGCCGAAGCGTCTAACCAAAATTCTCGAATATTCCATTTGGCTCTGGACATTGGAGGTTTGTTTTCCGTCCTCTGATCCTTGACTTTTCTCGAATTTCCCTTTCTTTACCCTGTTCTGGGCCAATTTGTCGCCCGATTTTAAATCTTCCCATTTGCGGGGTTGAATTTCGTAGGTTTGCTTGCTAGATTGTATCACTTTATATGTTGCTTCTAGTTTTCTTTCTTTCCTTGTTTTCGAATTCTTTGATAGGATTTTAGTTAACTGTCTGAAAGTTAGCTTAACGGTTATCAAGAGAGTTTGAGCTTTTTTTTGTGGATAATTCATCATTTTTATTACCTAAAGAAGCAGAGTCTACTACAAAAAAATACCAATCTCAAGATATTATATACAGTCTAGATACAAAACAGCATATCGGTTTTTAATCTATACCCCATGAAATACAAAGGTTAGAATTAACTCTATCCGTCCTATTTAAGTTTTTTCCCCTAAGTTTAATACCTATAAGTTCTTTGATGCAAGTTAGGAGGTCTTCGTTGGTTCGGGAGCATCCTTTAAAAATTATTCGGTTGCGTTTTTCCCACAAAATATAGATATAGGCACACCAAGCAAGCTTTAGAGTAGTAGATAGGAGAGACTTGCCTTTCCAAGAACTGTAAGCCCAAGCTAACAATTCCTCCCATGATGAGCAGGATTTCTTAATTCTGTTGAGGAGCAGAATTTTGTCCCATAAAAATGAAGCAGTGGAGCATTCAAAGAAAAGAACAAGTGATTCCTAGATTCCATTGTTTCATTACACAGCACACAATTCCTATCTGTAGTGATACCCATGCGCTGCAGTCGGTCTTGTGTAGGCAGTCTGTCGAGGATTGCCATCCAAGCAAGCAAATTGTGCTTGGGAATATGTTGTGGGAACCATATCAAGGAATGCCAGGGAACTTTGACTTCCTTCACCCTAATCTCCTGCCAAATGTCCTTAAAGGTTTGAATAATTTTGCATATGTACTGAAAAGAAAGGAGTGAAACATGTACACTAATGCCTTTACTACACATTCCATTTAGAGTATTCAACAATTTAAATTTCAGAGAAACAGCTTATTACAATAATCTATGTTGGTTGACAGGTTCTTTGGTCAAATTGGTGTATTTCTGTATAATGATGAGCTAAGGTCCAATATCGATCTTTCTCGACATTCAGTTAAATTTCTTGCTTTCTTCCCGGAAATGCAATCTTACAGGTCCAAAGGTGAGGCTAAAGCAATGTTTCTAAGGCATGAAGGTTTTCTCGGGGCATTATGTATTTATGTGCATTCATGAGCTATGAGAAGCAGTGTCTCGATGGCTTGATAGCCCATCAAATGCAGCAAAAGTTCCCCATCAGCGTATTCTCAGCCGGGGATAAGATTTACTGCTCACTGAACAGTAATTCAGACGAGAATGGTAGTATCGAGTGCACCGTATACGGAACATAGAAATACAACATACAAGATGAAGTGATGGAAGACCCTAGGTAACCATGCAAAAAGAAAATTCCCATCTTGAAGAATGTATATTGCATAATAGATATGTTGCAGGACCTGTAATTTCAACGGAAAACGATACAAAGAACTCACAATTAGACAAAGATTGTGTTGCTTTTCCCTTCATTGTAGCTTACATGTACCATATATGTAGTTTTTTTAATGAAATTATTCACTTCAATCTGTTCTTCTGAATATCTGATTTTCCAACTATTTTGATTCTGTTGTGGGAGGCATTTTGGTAACTGATCTTCGTGATTCGAGTTAACATAACTTCATTTGGAATATCCAAATGTAACAGATCTGTTTGAAGAAGATAATTATGTAATGCAGGTTTTTCATTTTTCGTTGAAGTATTCATATTCGACTTTTCTCTGATATATATTCAAACATCATATGATCTTTCAAATATATAAGAAAATATATTTATTCATATCAGCCAAATATCTATATCCGAGTCATGTAAGATGATACAAGTAACGGGAACAATCATAACAATGATGGGCATTTTTCATATGAAATACTCATGCAACAGTAAACATCCTCTTACCACGCGGCTTTGCATTTCGCCTATGAAGGTTCCATCTTTGTTTAATGTCGTGAATCTCCCCAACTCGGTGATGTTCATTAATTTCCTTAGAAAATCTAAGGCCATCGTTTGAATTTTCAGCGTCGAAGACACCCTTTAGTCTGGCAGCTTCAGCAAGCAGATCATGGATCAGCATCTCAGTGGTTTTGCTGGTTATTCCCCTCAGATACCAAGAAATGGGAGGGGGAGGAACAATGGCTGGCTGAATCAGTTGGTCCAAGCTCACCTTCGAGCCGATCCTTCCTTTACCCCCGGTACATGAACAATACTCTGCCCATGTTTTAGGTCTGAAAGGAAAGCAGGTTTCTTCATCGACGAAAACAGGCTCTACTCTCCAGTGGCCTTCAAATTTTTTCATGAATCCTGCATTTACTTGCTTGAACTTCATCTGTAACAGTCATCATTAGAATGTAACTCACGCGAGAAGCGTGATCTTTTCTGGTAACAACTTATGCATTGGGGAATTCCGACATTATAAGATTAAGCAAAAGAAATTAAGTGTTTCACTGAGTGTCAATTTTTTTAAAGTACGAGTACATGGAGGTTGAAATTGTTTAATGTAACTCAGTACCACAAAAACCAAAGTCTGACTTCTTAACAGAAGGCTCACTCCTGGATATTAACATCAAATAATCGGAAAAAGTAATCCTCACCGAGTGATCTTCTCTGTTTTGATCCACTAGAACATGAACTGAGATGGTCCTGACCACCAAAGGAATCTCCACAAAGCTGCTTGCTCCACTTCAACCACCTGTCTTTGACCTTCATCAACTAAAACCTTTCTAGATATCACTTCCTGAAGCACAAGATCGGTTTATTAAATAGAAAATAGCTGAAACGGGTTGAAACTTAGAAGCTACAAATGACATTGCCAAAGATTAGTAGTTTTACCGAAGATAGAGAACATCATATCTACTTCCGCAGGTGAAAATATAACATTTACCTTAATATTTTTGAAAACTCTCTTGTTTTCAGGATCAGTTACAATATTATACACCAGATCAGGAGGCAATCCGACATCAACTTTTGCCTTAAGGTTGCAAAGAGAACCTTTTGGTACTCTGACCTGCCAAGAATAACATTATTGCAAATTGATAGATGCTTAAGGTCCAGAGGAAGAAATTGAGAATGTAAGATGACAGCAACCTAGTGCAAACATTGGATAAGATATATAATCAATTAAAAAAACCAGGATTTTTCTTCAGTGTTGCCTATGCGGAAAAAATAGTACTATGAATACTATGAAAGTGTCCTCTAAGGTTACAAAAACACATTCTATGATAGCTCGTTATTCGAACTTGGGTGTGTCGGACATGAGCATGTATTTGACATGGGCATGTTCAATTTTTCTGTCTGTCCCTCTATTTGGAGGGTCATATCCTTGTATCAATGTCCATAATTGTTTCAAACACGTCTAAGATGGGTACTTCAAGAAAAATGAAGAGTCAAAGCAACATAGTATGCTAGACAACAAGTTTGAGACAAAGGGTGAGACTAGAATCGCTCTTGAGATTTTTTTTTGAAAAGATAGATTTATTCAAAATTCAAAAGTAAACAAAACCGAAACTAAGGGCCTCATTAAAAAACCTCCCTAGACCTAAGTGGAGGAAAAAGAGGGCCCAAAGTCACAGGTAAAGCAGAGTAAAAAGCAAACACCTTCCCTAAACCTGAGCAAACACCGGTTTTCTAGCTAACACAACCGAAGTAAAACCAAAAAGCAGCATAGAAACCACAGAAATCCGCAAAAGCCCATAATCCCGAAGAATCAAAGTTTTAAAGCTAACTTGGCAAGGCGATCAGCCGACTAGTTACACTCCCTACTGACCCATGATTCTTTACCTTAATTTCTGGAGGTCGATTGACCCATGTAGGATTTTCTCTCCAATCTTGCAATTGCTTCTCCAGTTCAATCCCTAATCCGACAGATAAACCCTTCTTCCCAAGAGAAGAGTTAACTGATTTTGTTTCATCACTACCTTTTGCTAATCTCTTGATCTGTGACTGTAAAAAAAAAAAAACCCTTCCCTTCAAAATCTAATATAGAAAAACCCTTCCTTTCAAAATCTCCAGTTCAAAATCTTTTGAAAAGACTCTTCCTTTAAAAAAATAATAATACAGAAAAAACCCATCCATCAACACAGCTTTCCAATTTCCATTGGACGAATTCCCTCTACAAGCAAGCCATGACTAACCTTGAGATAATTTTGAAGTTGGTTGGGAAGCTGAACCAAAAATGCAGAAAATTCTGGATCAAAAACCTTCAGTTTTCCATTTCTGTCAGTCCTAGGAATATCGATGCTTACTTTTTTCCCTTCCATCAAACCTGTCAAAATCTAAACATTAATACAAACGTTAATCCACTATAAACTAAAAGATGTTCCAGGTCATTGCTTTGGATAAAAATACTATAAAAAGAAAGTTTACAGATAGCAGAGAATGTAAAGCTTAGAGGCAAGATATTTGGTAACTAACATGGGACTTAGGTATTAGTTTCTTGATTAAGCCTCGTTTCAAATGTTAGATGCAAAATCGTATTGAACATCAAAACCTATATGACTTTGAATAAATCCGGGATAAATGATGTAACATAGAACTAATGCTTATTCACCGAGTTGAAATGTAATTTGTCATCCTACATACTAAAGATGAGATTACCTACATTGAGACAATCTCTGGAATTACTACCGTATGTGTAATCTCTGACCATACAAAGAAACCCAAGAGAGAAACCATATTCTAGTTAAATGTTCTGGATAGGTCAAGAGAGAAACCAAAATTTCATTTAACAATATCTTTCTATGTATTTTCATCAGCCGATTAATCTAAAGCACATAAGTTAAAATGAAGTAAAACCATAAAAAGCTCCAGTAATAAGATTAAAGTAACAATTATTCCCACAAACCTCTTAAGTCAGCTCTATACTAACGTCAGATATGAAAGAAATTTATGAATAAATGAAACAATTCTGAGCAGTATTTCATGGTCTGCCGGAAAAATCAAGTTTCTAATTCAACATAGGCCAATTGGAATCAATACTCATTAAAACTTACAGCGAAAAAAGATAAAGGAACAAATCAGAAAACCCAGAATCAGAAAAGAAATATAAACATGACAGGAAGAAATCTATCAGATTGTTCAATGAAGAATTAAGACAAAGATAACAGAGAATATGGATTGAACTTACAACATGAATCTGGTGACAAGAATATTCATTCCAGTTGAAATTCAACGTGAGAAAAGAGAACCCCGGGAATTTATCAAAGGGATTTCTTTTCTTTTGTTTTTCAGATTCTTGTTTAGAATTTTAGAAGTTAGGTATAACACGCGACGCACACGGAGCGCGGAAATTGGAGGAAGCAATTGAGCTTCGGAGCTTGTCTTGTACGTTTGCAAGTTCAACCATTCACTCGAAAGGAAGCTTACTTTAACTTCCAGAAGGGTAATTTACGTTTTGAGTCATCCATGCTTATTAAATTTTGTTAATTAGCTATATTTTGTTTTTTTAAAGAATTATTATATATATAACGTTTTGAGTCATCCATGTTTATAAAATTTTGTTAATTAGCCATATTTTTTTAAAAGAATTATTATATATATCTATGTTACATTACATAAATTAAAAACAAACGTGTAGCGCACGTAAAAAAACTAGTGAAAATCTATAGGATAAATTACATGTTTAATACTTAAATTATCAATTTTAGTACATAAAGTTTAATTTTGAAAAAATCAAACCTAAAATTTTTAATTTTTGTTTCATTTTAATATCCCATTCAAAATTTAACGTTAAGTTTTAAAAAAAATTAAAAGTTTAGGTATTAAAACAAATCAAAATTTTTGAATTTTTTGGGTGTTTGTTTAGTTTTGCAGGCCAATGCTCAAAATTTTTTGCTAGCTTGGGAGCATATGGTCCCTAATTCTAGAATTTGTCCTATATTACGGGTGTGGTGCTATGGACTATCTGGAATTTTAGGAATGACATTGTGTTTGATGGGGGTAGGCTTGACCAGATCGAATTGTTTTTTATGGCAAGATGTAGGCTGGCTACTTGGTTCCTAACAAATTCCAAGGAGGACTCTATTCTAAAGGATTCTCTCATTTCTGATCCTACTATTGGGGATTCTTGCTATAATTCAAGGTGTTCAACCATTGAAATTGTGTCTTGGTCTCCTCCTCCAAAGGGTTTTATTAAACTAAACGTGGATGCAACAGTGACTGGTGATTGGAGGAAGAGTGGTGTTGGGGGAATTCTTAGAGTTGAGGATGGTTCGGTGATGGGCTATTTTCAAGAATCTACTGGACCAGGTCCTCCTTTGTTGATTGAGCTTATGGCAGTAAAGAGGGGCTTAACCTTCTTTGATTCGATTCAGCAGCAGTTTAAGGAACGTTTACTTGTTGAATCAGATAGTAAACTTGCAGTGGAGTGGGTCAAGAATTTTGATCGCTGCCCCGGTGTATATTTTAACTTAGTTAACGATATTGTTACTAAGTTAAGGGACTTGAATGGTATTATTAGTTGGGTTGCTAGGTCAGCCAATGTTGAGGCTGATAGTTTAGCTAAAGATGGTATTGGCTAATTTATGTTTGTGGTTAGCTACTGTAGTATTTGGGTTGGTTTTTGTAGAGGGAGTGTTTATGTGTTGTTAAACATTATGTATATTTCGATTTTTATGAATCTTAAGGCACTATTTTCCTCCTTCCGCTGATTAAGGAGCACTAAGTGTTCCATTAATCATGAAGGGGACTTTTAACGAAGCCTACATTCCTATAAAAAAAATTTAACGTTTGAGTATTAAAATGAAACAAAAAACTAAATGTTATATATGATTTTGAAAACATTGAAATTTTGGGTACTAAAACGAATCGAAACAAATAGTTTAGCTACTAAATGTGAATTTACCCAATTTTATACAACTAATGAATGAAAGAAACTAATTTTACCATGGCACAACATTTAAATATAGTAACATATTACGGTTTAAAAAAATTATTAGGAGAGAAACACAACATAATATTACTATTTAAAATATTTTTATATACTACTATAAATTATCATAAAACTTTATTAGGTTAAAGTAGTTTTAATAAGAGAAACCTAAATAAATTTATGATATATTTCAAAATAAATAAAAAATATCAACTAATTAAAAAAAAAAAACTTCAATGACAATGGTCAGACAAGGCATGGCCTTCAAGGGGCCTGGATTGGGATGCTTACACTTATAAAATATTAAAACACCAACTGCAATTACAGGTTATTTATGAGGCTTATTTACAAAGCCAAGTCCCAAGTTTTCCTAGTTCGATGATGTACCATAAGCTACTTAATATTACCTGCAATTACATAAGCATGCCTGCAGATTATGGGTTTCCGATTGTGGTCACAAAAGGCACCAGCCTTCTATATTCCCTTCTTCTCCCCAAGGCGCAGCTATCGAGCACCCGTCCTAGGATCAGTCGGGTGTTTTGCAAGGCCACCTCTCTAGGCGGCATACCTGAGTCGGTTGAGAATGGTTGCATGATTGATGTTGAACCTACTCCATACCCTGATCCCAAAGCATACTGCAGCGGCCCGCTTCGAGCCTTAAATGAGGTTTGAGGAGCTAGAGTCTTCTCATCTGAGCCGTTTTCAAATGTCCCGGACTCGTGTGCATGTGTACCGGTTAATGAACTACAGCTCTGCAAAAGAGCTTCTAATACGCTTAGTGCCTCCCAACACAATGAGCTCTCCACTAGCTGGGATACAATAGCGTACATATGTGGGCTTTGAGCTGAATCCATGGGAGTGTGCTGGAGCAATGCCTTAAGAATGAGCAATATTACACGTTGATACTCGGTTGGACCTCTCTCCAGTAGCCGCAGCAAGTGTCCAAATGCCAGAGCTGAGTGCTTAGGGAACCATTCATTGCATAACAACGGTGATACACAGGCAAGAAGATTCTCAATGCTTTTGATCTCTCCTCTGGAGTAAGCCATGAACACGGTAGCTAAATCATCCAATAGTTCAGCTAGACACCAAATTGAGATATTGGCAGCTACAGAACAGGCTTTCTGGTACTGTTGGTGGAGTGGTGAAGCTGAACCCAATGATGGATCTTTGCTCAGCTGTAAGCAAAGCCAGGGAAGCAATCCTGTAATGTGCATAAGTAGTCTGGTCTCATGATCCCCAAAAATGGAGTCACATGAGTGTACTGTGATCCGAGAGAGGACCTCAATTGCTACACCATGACTAACTGTGGACATCAGTCCTTTAAGTACAAGAGGCTGCACTCCTTCAAATGCGGGAAGATTGCCCTTAGATTCGATCCGCTGAAAGTCCCCAGCATCAACATTATCAAGCTCATCCCGAGGCATGCTGGAAAGGATGACATTTTCAACTGTTCTGTCCCGGAATGACAAACGGTCAATCACACGCGAGAAAAGCTCAAGAACCTGGCAGTATATATGAATGAAATCTGTGTGCATCATTGCCACACAACCCCAAAAGAGTTGAGGGTAGAGTATGACCTTTTCAGGCTCCATGTTCTCAACCATTACTTGCAGTGTCAGTAAAATTTCCATAATGAAGCCTAGAACAGGAGGTATTGGATTTCCCAAGCATCTATGTAGGCACCGAAGGAGTAACACACATGTGTCACTTGTAACGCTAGGCCTCAATGCACGATAGATCTGGTGGGAACGACAAGCAAGGTGCCTTGACGTGCACTCCATGGCCCATTTGAGTGCCTCAACACCCCAAGTTTCACGAAGGTCGCCTTGGAAGAAGATTGCATCAACCATACTCTGAACAAGGGCAGACAGAAGTGCAGCACTAGGAAGCTCCGTCCTTGTCACTGTAGGGTCCTCATTCTCCCACATCATGCTTCCTCGCTTTGACTGAACATACTTGATCAGACTAACAACCTGTTGCTTGTTCTCTCCATCATTGTTTTCTACCTCGTACAGCTCCAAGTGCCGACCAGCAAGCGAGTATAGTAGATTAACAAGCAAATGCTGGCAGTGCTCCAACACGATATCCTCAGAGCTATCCATTGAAACAAATGTGACATGAAAGAGCAGAGGTAAGTGTTCACGGAAGTCTTCATCATTCTCATATGCAATTTCAGCAAGTAAAATCAACGCTATATCCGCATGAGTGAGTGAGTGCTGCTGGTGCCCTTGCAAAGCTGAATGAAGTTCTTTAGCATTGATGCCATGCATACCAACCCCAGAATGTGAGATATCTTCACCAGAATTTGGAGTGTCAATCAAGTAGTCTCCACTGTCACGGGAAACATGACGGCTTCGTAAACTTCCTGTGGAACTTCGAACCCCCATTAAAGGACCTGACATGTTTACTAAAGCTGGAAGGAGCTGACCAGATCTGCCTGCAGTTACAGGAACAATGTTCAATTCTGGAGGCATGGGACTTAGTGGACCTGAGGCACTTCGCCCTGTAACACCAGCAGTCCGCCAACTAAGGCTTCCACTGGTATTTCTCAATGGACCATCAAGTGAACCCCGGACAAGTAATGGTGACATATGTGGCTGGCTGTCTGCAACAGATGCAATCTGAGTGGCTGCAGGCCCCTGAGAGAATTCCAAAATAAAATTCCCATTGGCATCGGCCCTGTTTGTAGTTGGCCCAATTGGTTCAATGCTATCTTCCAGCATCCGCTGGGACAGCTGATAAACAAGATGATCAATTGTGCGTTGCGGACAAATACGTGCTAGATACAGACTAACTCTCTTGGCAACTGAGAAATATGTGGCAAAAGCACCACTTATTTCAGCAGATGCATTTGAATCACAGTCCTCAATTCCTTTTGTAATCAAGAAATCTAAAACAGGACTAATGTTCCGAGGCTTGCTGGCAATTGTGCTCCAAAGTTTCTCAATTTCATCAGGAAATTGATCTCCATGCCTCCACGTAACGTAATAAAGACTTTTTAGTAATCTTTCACCCCAACTTGAGTCCTTCAGTTTCCAAAAGTTCAGGTTTTCAATCCACGGAGCCATACAGGTTAACACCTGGTGCTGAGCAATTATATCAACGGCGTCAAGTTGTCTTTGCATGATCTCTTCACAGAGGAGCTTGCTCAACTCAGGATGATCTTTGGCTAGTTTGCACGAGAGCTTGTACTGGAACTGTTGGTAGGAATCAGGGAGATTACCAACAACAGCAGCTCGATAACTACCTGAGCTTTCAGTGCCATCTTCAGCCCATTCACGGACAGAGAGTGTCTCAAGCATCTGAAGGGCATCATCACGGATTTGTCTAGATGGGTCCACTACCTTGTAGAGGATCAGACTCAAAAGCCTCTGAATTTCACATTTTGGTATCTCTTGTCTCATGTAGACCTCAGCCAGTACACTGAAGTAACCATCGGCTATAGCAGGGTCAGAGTAATAGCACTGAAAATAATATTGTTAATTAGTTCCTCAAGAAGTGAAATGAGTAAATACAATATATAGGGCTAATGTTAAAAAGGAACGATGGAGCATTCAAAAACCTAATTTACAAGAAATATATAAGACAAGTAGCACTAATATTGAGCACACTACAGAAATTGGCAAACAAGGAAATGACAAATGCAGAAATATGAAAAAAAGTAGAACTTTTTATTTACAATAATCATTTTTTTATAAGACATGGAGGTCTCATTAAAAAAATTACAATAATCGTTGAAATAAAAAATCTTATCATCATCTTCCTCGTTCAATTTTTATTGCTTAGAATGTAAACCTCGCATAGCCATAATCCAACTACCACTAAATGATTGTTATAACTGGAGCACAACAGATTCGACAATCACACATTCAATTCGTAGTTGTAAATGCATCTTTATTTGGCAGGAGAGATGATGCCTATATCATGGAACATACCTGATCGATGCAAGCAGGAAACAAATCCAAATTTGTAATAAGAAGATTTTTCAACGCTAATTTCGCTAAGGCAACACGATGATGGCCACCTTTATGCCTATCACGGCCAGTGGCTCCACGCCCTTCTCCTGTGTATTTGGAATAAGATGGAGTTCTTGGATCAACTGGTGAATAACCGTATGGGGCCTTGGGTGCAGGCTCATTGAACAAACTATTAATCCAAAATATAACCCTGCCACTCATTTTTCTTGCATTGTCGTCGAAACAAGGCCCATACAAAAGTGAAGCCATAGCGGTCATAGAGACCCAGTGGATGGCCTCAATTTGTTCACTCAATTCTCTGTCAAATGAAATTTTGTCCCCAGAATCTTTTGACCTGTGTTGTGAAGTCTTATATCGTTCAACTTCACGTCGATAGTCGTTAACACTATCCAGTCCCCAAGTACTTCCAGTGTCATCGCACCAGGATAAAAGAAGATCAAATAGTTTCTTCCTAAGTCTAATATCAAATCGCTCTGATTTTGAATCCACGAATTCAGGGGCCAGAGATCTTAAAACTGAAGCAAGTGCATAACGGAGTGCTTGTGATTCTTGAAAGCTATCAGCCGATGCTGGTGCAATCTGTTTAGTTGTGTCCTCAATAAACTTCAAATAATGGCGACGAAATACAGGCTTCTGGCCCAAGAATCCCGGCCAGATGCTCTCAGACACT